AAAAGTTAGGTATTCATGCAGGTCTGCCTTGTTATGGAGAATAAACATATATTGAGATTTCCCAATAGCAAGTAGTAATGTTGTGCCTTTACTCTTGTCAACAACTGTGGTATAATTAGAACAATAAGATTTACATGTTTTCAACATTGTCATAAATCTTTGACGAAGTTGCACATGATATCTGAAAAACTGAGATTGCGTCTGAAAAATGTTGATGAACTTTGATCCAGGAAATCTAGCTTTTGAAATTCGGAGAGCGGTGCATTTTCGATCTCCGAACAAGTGGCTTTGTTGCCTCTTCTTTTTATAGAGGCATCAATTATGCTTAAAATGTATGCTCGGAAAACTGCATGCATGTAGAATTTTCCCCTTCTTGCACTTTTGAGATTTTATCTGACGTCATTTTTCCTTTATCATTTCTGAAAATGGCTTGCCTATCTAACCTTTGTTTAGATTTGAGACTCGGGAGGGATACTGATGAGTCGAGCCAGGAAAATATATGGCACCCGTCCTTCTCATCTTCTAATGGCCACAGTTAGAGACTCTGCGATGAGGAAGAACATAACCGCTAACGTGGTGGCTAGGAATCTTCTCACTCCAAAGGATAATAGAATCCTTTCAAAACGGTCTGATGAATCGGCCGTTCAAGACTCTTTGGCTCTCAGTGTTCAGTGTGCTGCCTCTGTTTCCAATATGGGCCAACGCCTACTTGCTCGAACTCGCCAAGTTGAATCATTGATAACTGAGGTGGTAAGTCTTAAACAAGATATTAGAGGGCTTAAGCATGAGAATAGAGTGTTACACATGCTTACAAATAATTACTCAACGAGCATGAAAAGAAAGCTTGACCAGCTGCTGGAATCTGAAAGTCGGACTCAAAGTGACAATCAGAGGTTCGAGGCTTTATTCCAATGGCACCTATTGCCTTCGTCATTCGGAGTTTTACCAAGTATAGAGGCTCCAAATAATCAACCTCCGGTGCCTCCCCTTTCTGGGGTACTTCCAAGTATTGAGGCGTTACCTGAGCAACCTTTGTGAAGGCTCCACCCTATTTGTTTTAACTTATGTGTATGTACATGTCTATAATTTCTCTGAGATATCAATTGATAAGCTTTATTTCATTCAATGTATTGTGCTAATACAATAAAGCATATACTTCACTAAGATGTGGTACTTCTGGACCAAATATCAATTTATCTTTACCTTATCGAAGATAAATGATCATTCTTAGTGTCTAAATCATTTGAGTATTCAACTCATAGTCTTCAATCCATATGATTCTTTAATATCATAAACATCATGGATAATATTCGTGTTGGCATATTGTTCGATCTGCAGTTTGAGACAATATTCCTTTCAACATTTTATAATCTTTCTAGACTTTTCAGGAGTCCTAATCTAATGTCATTGACTCTTGCAAAAGATTTTAGTATGTTGGAACAATATCATAGTGATAGTACTCATTAAGGCAGTTTATACCATCCATTAGTATTGAGTACATATTTTATGTTTTACCTATTTAGGGCTTTCTTCAAGCAATAAGAATCCTTCAGGGATTTTCTACACTTCATGACACATTTTCCTTTGGAATTTATACAGAGCAATTTGCTTCCATGTATTCTTGAGGGATTTACTTATGGAGATATGATGTGGGCGACGTACAACCCTTCATATATAATTCTCCATTCATATGAATTCCTTTACAACCTTGTGTCATATCATGTGAGTGTATTTCACGATATTACAAATGCACATATGTAACCTTCTAGGTTTAACATCTTTTGGCTATTTGTATTGTATTCAAGTATATAGGTCTATTTATCCATGTTCTTACAAAATTGTAATGAATTGCCTTTCTCCATTTTGGTCAATAATTTTGTTGATGGAAAAAGAAGAGAACTTAATATCAACATAGCTCATTGATTAATTTAGTAGCTACTTGTAAAAACTAACATTACCATTGGTTATCGTCAATCTGTGATCCCATATTCTCATGCACATGCGCATTGCATAAAAACTTTTCATTGCTTTGGATATCCATTGCCTCTTCAAGGGCATTACACTAATCTCTTCTAGGATAGTCATAATTTAGAGAATGCGGATCATAACCTCTTCTTGAGTGTTATAGAGCTTGGATTGCAAGCTCCACTTCCAGGAGTTGAGTCATTGGAACCTATATTTCTACCATGCTTCATGCATGAGACACCAAGATTCTCATGTCTGCGGATTGTCCTTTTTGGGGCGTGTATCCATGCGGTGACTGTCATGCTTCTGGCATGCAACAGTTATGCTTTGGGAATGCAATAGTTGAATTGTGTCATATTCTTCTTTTTTCGAAAGACCGAACCTTTTGAGTCTAAGGGTCTGCCACACTTCAGGCATGCAACAGATAAATCATTTACTGCCTCATTATATTGTCCAACAGGGCCATCAATTCTTGTAGGCACATTTGAAGCAAGTATATGTGATTTCATCACTTTTGTTGCATCATTAAATGCATCTGACATTTAATTAACACATCATTCAATTATTCTTACTTCATTTTCATATCGATTGCTTCGTAAATCAAAATAAGACAAATTCTCTTCGTTCTTCTGAAACGGTCTTTTCTCATCATTCTTCTGGAATGATATTTTATCATCGTTCTTTTGGAACGATGTTATTTTCTCCCCCTAACGGCGAGAAAATTTTCTTATCAAAATGATAGTTCGCAAACCACGCTGTAAGGGTTCAAAATATTGAATGATATATGATGAATCAAATCCAACATAAATTCCTAGTCTGTGATGCTGCCTCATTTTAGTCTATTGTGGCAGTGCAATAGGCACATAGATAACACAACCAAAAACTCATAAATGTGTAATGTTTGGCTTGCGTCCAAACACGAGTTGTACTGAAAAATATTGATGGTTGGCAACAAGTCTCAACCGAATTAATATTGCATCATGTAAAATGACATTTCCCCATGTAGAAACTTAGCAATTTCATTTTCATGAGCAGAGCGCAGGTAATCAATTTTATCCGCTTAATAAATACTTCTGCTAAACCATTTTGAGTATGGATATAAGGAACTTCTGGTGTGGACTGAGACTCTTCTGACCTTTATACTGTTAAGTTGAGGCACTGCGGCACTTCAAACTTACTGTACTCATTAAGGAACTTCATGTCCTGATCTGAGGATCATGGGACTTCATGCCTAATCTTTTTGTATGATGGAACTTCGGGTCCAATCATTTTTATATGATGAGGATCAAGAAATTGCAAGTTCTGATCTGATCAAGGAACTTCAGGTCCTGTATATACTCATCGTAACAAAAGATAAGTACAATAAATAAATTAAAGCAATAGGCGGTAATTCGAGCCATAGTAAATAAATTGCATTTAAGTAAATAAAGCTTGTGACAAGGGCTTTAATTCAACACCATTCACACAAATCAAAACTTAAAGCAGTAAGCGGTAAAACCGTCCATGATAAATAAATTGCTTTAAAGTAAATAGAACTTGTGAAAGGGACTCCAATTCACATAAATAACAAGAAGTATCAGACCTCCTTTTATTTATTATTTTTCTTTCTTTTGTCAACACTTATTCAAACCCTGTTATTATTACTTTTCTTATTTCTACAGCATGGTGCCATGCACCAACAGAAACATTTATATTTGTTTTGTTTATTTATTTATTTATTATTTTGACCAAATGGTGCTGTGGACTATTCACATTTCTTTATATTTTATTATTATTATTTTTCTTTGGGTGCAGTCAAGACCACACATTTCCAAACTTTTTTTATTTGTTTTATTTTTTCACATGTGCCTTACCATTCCATCAATCCCCATTTTCTATTATTTTTCTTCCTTCTCTGTCAGTCTCGAAACGCAGGGCCAGTTGGGTTGTTATGAAGGTTGCCCAAATTCAATTGCATCCAAAAGGCTACGAGAGACTGAATATGGCATTGCGAAGCATGAACCTCCTCACAGAGACATAGATGACAGTGAGGTTGATGGAGGCACAAGAGAGCGAGGCCTGTGTGGAGTTAGTCCTGCCATCACCATCTTATATAACTGAGGATTCATCGGAGTCTTCGAGATCCGTTGAAAACAACGCGATCTGGGTTTCTAAGTTTGATGAGATTCTTCTAGATCTTTGGAAACCAATTATCAAGTACGAGTTTTCTCATCTCGTTTTTATTCTGTGAGATTTTAGTTGACGGAGGTGAGAGGTAGATAGTGCTTCACCTGATTTATGGCGTTGTGCTTTCTACTAACATGAGAGCTTCTCGTGCTGATAATGTGTTGTAAATCGACGGTGTGTGCAGTGGAATAAATAAAGCAAGATACAAAATTTACGAGGTTCCTCTACAGTCAGTGTGACTGGAGTATGTCCTCGGAGCAGCAGTGGTGCTTTCATTATAATTTAGAATAATAGGAATACAAAATAACTCTCTCTATTTTTTCCTCTCCTCTTCCTCTTTTCTCTCTCTTCCTCTGTCATGAACTTGTCTCTTAGATGTTGTGTGGAGTTTGTATTTATATAGAAAATAGGAGTTGTATAAGGCAAGCTTCGGCAAACAGTGGAGGGCCCATTATTTAATTCTTTGAGTGGACATCCACTATTCTACAACAATTACAATATTTATCAAAAATTAAAAAAAAATTATTTTTGACCAAAACAAAAAAAAAAGGTTTGCACGACCCATGCCTACGTCGCGCAAAGCCACTAAGGCACTTTGCACGACACAGGGCGCAAAGCCACTAAGGCACTTTGCATGACACGCGCCCTGTGTTGTGCAAACCCTATTGTCACTGTCTTGGTGCGACGGTTAGCGCGGAACGAAAGTTACGTCACGCAAACCCTTAGGCAATGATTTTTGACTTTGCGCAACGAAAATCCCTACGTCGCGCAAGGTGTTTTTTCTACGATTAGCTCGCAAGAGGGGTTTGACCATTAAGTAGAGACGTAGCCACGTTGACAACACTACAGACCTTTTATATCACATGTTTTTTTTTTTTCTCTCTATTATATTAGAAAGAAAAACAATAATATATAGTGACGAGATGCCGGAGGAAAGTTGCGCATCATCGAAGGGACCGCTTTGACTGTATGCGCTACGCAGGTCGGCTATATATTATGTACACACGCAGATATATAACCCCAAGTCTCTTCAAGATCTGATCCCATCCCACTTCTTTTGTTGCTCTTGGTTTTGTTTTCTGTTTTTCGGCAGAGAGAGATGGGGACGCTGCCACCAACATCGGTAGTAGTAGATGATGATCGAGTAGATGATGCAAAAGTTGGCCGCGAAGAAGATGATCATGATCACGAACAGAAGCAACTCGATGCCGGTGCTCGTTTTGTTCTCAAATCCAAAGGTACACCTATAAACTACTTTGTTAATTCTTCATATCATATTATAAGATACAGAATATTACGGTTGTATGAATTCATATTAGGAAGAGAAACTATTGTCTAATGATTTAAATGATTATGAGCCTCTTCTTTTTATTTATGTATTGAGTTCAACAATTCGTATACGTAATCTTATGTTTTTCAATATATATAACGATGTACACATATTAAGTTCAAATAATATCATGTATAAAGAGGTGTGTCGAAAATATAAATCTTAAACCTAAAAAAAAAAAAAAAAAAAAAAAAAATCTTGCCTAAATAATTTCAGCTCTCTCAACCATAACTGGTAATTCGATTAAAAAAATTAGATTTAGAATGGAAGCTTATTTTCTGTTTGTTTATCATTATTGTGATGATCTCTTCCACCGTGGTCATTATCATTATCATCACATTGATTGGTGGCTTTGATATTTTTTTCTTCACCCTTTTGTTCTCTCTCTCTCTCTCTCTCTCTCTCTCTCTCTCATAATTCATATGGGTCAAAATTCTGGTTGTTACTGTTTCTCACACCACTGTACATGTTGAGTTGTTGACCATACGTACCACTTAATTTGCGTTGTGCATACATATGTGCTCGAGTATAACATCTTGTTTTATAAGATTTTTAGCCGTTTAGATTTCTATTTATGTTAGGGATACGATATATATTGGTGCAACTGCTAAGAACAAAACAACAACAAAAAAGGGTAACAATCGCAAAGTAAGTGTGATGGTTTCAGGCGTACTTATTGCTAAAAGTGTTAATACTTTGGTTACTGTTATCATGCTTTTAGCAATAACTAATCTAGAAATAGTCTCGCTTGCTCAATGTCTATTTGTAGTCTTTTTATTTGTGTTATTTGTGTTGAAATTTTCTAGTATCATTTTTCATAAATAGCTTCAAATAATATTGTTATATAAAATGGGGGAAAGAAGTAAAAAGAAAAGACAGAATATTTGAATTTGTAATATTGTTAATGTAGGGGGAAAGAAGTAAAAAGAAAAGACAGAATATTTGAATTTGTAGTATTGTTAATGTAGGATCATGGGTGCACTGCGGTTATCACTTGACAACATCGATTGTTGCTCCGGCACTCCTGAGTTTGCCGTACGCTTTCACCTTCCTCGGATGGGAGGCCGGAATTTTGTGTTTAGTCATCGGAGCATTAGTTACTTTCTATTCGTACAATTTAATCTCTTTGGTTCTTGAACACTATGCTCAATTGGGTCATCGCCATCTACGATTCAGAGACATGGCTCATGACATTTTAGGTACGTACGAATTTGAAGACCCTTTTTTGGCCTCTCATTTCTTAATTATGTGCACCTGTCGTTAATAAGTTTTTAATGTTATTACTAGCAATAACACTATCAGTACATGACAATCCACTACTTGCTAGTAGAGTTAAAGTGTTGTTATATTTATAAGTTTACTTGACATGTAGATATGGTGTTGCAAAAGTCTTAAGGTCAACATTTATAGTTTAGGGTTCTGTTTGGGCCTGAAATACCAGTAAGCTTAAGTGAGATCGTGGGAAGATTAAGCTTAAGTGAGGCTCAGTAAAGTCCTCAGTGAATTAAAATTGCCAAAGATAAGGATGGGCTCATATGAGGTCCAAATTATTCTAAAAGTCATAATTCATTCTTGATCAGATAGTGATGAATTAAGTGCACAAAGGGGTTAGGTTCAGAATCCTGGTTCAAATCAAAGATGTTAGGACTGAATAAAGATGAGTTTTGACTAAGGAAGTGATTATAGTGATAAAGAGAGAATATTCAAGTAAACACAATCCTATATGGACTCTACCTAGGCGACTTATTTATCATGAAGTTCATCTCTATAAATAGAAGAGGTTCTACAATATGAAAGCCTTCAACTCAACAAAAAACTCAAACACTCTATGTGAAACCCTTCTCACATCTTAAGAAAAAAACTAACAATCTTAACCCTCCCCTCAACACATCTTCAATTTGAATAAGTAAACAACAATGGAGTAGTATGATCAAATAGCTTAGGAGCATAGTTTGGACAAGTAAATAGCACCGCTTCTAAGTTGGTTGGTTATCTATCCAAGTCTTAGTAGATGAAGACTTCTTACTTCTTTTGCCCGAAGAAGTCGTTTCACTAACCTCCCGGCAAAGTAAAGTGTTCTATGATTGGTTACTCTCGTCTCCCTTTAGTAACTTTGCCCTTAAAACCTCGGGTGCACCTATACTTTCACGAGTTAAGTTAAGTCAACAAAACCTGGTGCAGTAGATCCTAAACTTCGCTAATAATTTCTTCAATTTCTAGAATCCAAGGACGAGACACGTTCCTTCCTCTGCTGTAGTTTCTCAAATGTAGAAGTCGCAACGCATCCAATACCACCACCACCACACCTATTCTACTTGTTTGGCTGAACTTAGTCTTAAGTTGGCACGCCCACATTTATCAGAAGAACACAGTTAACTCATAGTTACTCAGTTACAAACCACGTAGACTTTGTAATTTTTAAAGTTATTTAAAGTTTAAATTTTAATAAGGGAACTTTAATGAAAAGCTCTCGGTACTGTTTACTTTAACGAAAAACCACATTTTTACACTAGAAAGTCAATCCTGGTACTATTCACTTTACTCTTTATTTTGTTCTTATCGTTAAAACTCAAAGTTTTCAAACTTTTTTCATTAATTTTCCTTTTTAATAATACATGTCTAGGCTATAAATTGAGCAGTTCGAGTAGACATATAGCTGCCATGTAGTCTATCGCCTACCCACATTGCCTACTAGTTTATTATTGCATATCATGGGTGCCCTATCCTACATATATTTGCACTAATCTTAGCGTCACATGGGTTTTTGACTAGTTGTAGCCCAAGCTAGTGGTCTCTTTCCTCCCACTAGAGGCATATGAATATGATTGATGAGTAATAAATATTGATATCAAAATAAAACATATGATATTAATACATATTGCAACTTTAGTAAGTGGTAGATTATCATGATTGTTAGGGTCTTTTTTCTTCAACTTGTTGCATTTTGGCTTGAACCCATCCCTTTTTTTCCTCAGTGGAGAATAATGTAAAATATTGTTTGTTCCTAAAGAAATATAGAGAGCAATTGTAAGTGTAGAATCTGTAGATGCATCAATGACAATAATGTACACAACCAGCACTAGATTTAGTTAACCAGTGTCAAAAATGTGTTAGGAAACCTCTTAGTACTATGGTTTAGTACTATTCTTCTTCACTTGTAAGTGAGAAGTCATAGGTTTGATTTTCGTCAAAGGTGAAGTTGAACCACATCATTATGGTGGATCCAATGTGAGACTTAGTTCATTCTCTCACCCCCTTATTGTAGATACCATCGTTTGTCCAAAAAAAAAAAGTGCTAATTTTTACACTCTCTTTTTTATTTATGGTCATTAGATTAAATAAGTCAAGTGAAATCCAAGGTTATAAATAAATATTTTATAGAGGCTTGTTATAAATAGTTAAAAGTTAGAGAGATAACCTTTACTAACGACAAGAGCGAAGCAGGTGTAAAATATCACACTGTAACTATTACACCAAGGGATGACAAGTAAAAGAGGGAGGAATAGATACTGATGTTATTGATCTTTCCTTTTTCCTCTGTGTATTTTGATAGCAGTCAGAGCGCTCTATTTATAGAGCAACTCCAAACGTATTAATTACACCCTTTGAAAAATATGATCTCCTTCATTTCCAAAGTCTACATTACTATGTGTGGGTATTGAAAAATTTGTGTGGGCATTCATTAATCTGCCAATATTTTCAACATTGCCAATGTTTTCAATATTGCCAATGTTTTCAACACTCCCTCTTGGATGCCCACATATCAACATTAGTTGCCTCGTTAAAACCTTGCTTGGAAAAACCCAGTGGGAAAAAACCATAGCGAAGGAAAAAGAGTACAACTTTATCTGGATAGTATGCTTATGTTGCCTTGTTAAAACCTTGATAGGAAAAACTTAGTGGGAAAAATCCTAATCGAAGTAAAAAGAGTATAACATGCATGTATCATGGATGCTCCCCCTGATATTTATCTACCCCTGATTCCGCATTCTCCAAATTTATCTGATTGGTACGTTGACGTAATCCGATACTTTGCACTAACTTCTGAAACGTGCACTTTGGTAGAGATTTGGTGAACAAGTCTGCCAGATTTTCATTGGAACGGATTTGTCTTACTTCAATAACTTTAACCTTTTGAAGCTCATGTGCACTGAAAAACTTTGGAGATATGTGTTTAGTTTTATCACCCTTGATAAATCTTCTTTCATTTGGGCAACATAGGCTGCATTATCTTCATAGATGACAGTTAGAGTGTCTGTCTTTGAAGGTAGACCATATGAATTCCGAGTATGATGGATCATTGATCTTAACCAAGAACATTCATGACTTTCTTCATGTAAAACAAGTATTTCTGAATGATTTGAAGATGTAGCAACTAATGTTTGCTTTGTTGAGCGCCATGAGATTGATGTATCTCCATTCTTGAACACATATCCGGTTTGTGAGTGGGTTTTATAGGGATCAGAAAGAAAACTAGCATCTGCATATCCAACAATGACTTAGCCATTTGTGGATTTCTTTGAGTAGAAGAGACCCATGTCTGTTGTCTCACAAAGGTATCGCAATACATCTTTGACTCCTTTCCAATGATGACTTGTTGGAGCAGAGCTATACCTTACTAACAAGTTGATTGAAAAGGCTATATCTGGTCTAGTACATTGTGCTAAATATAGTAAAGCACCTATTGCACTCAATATATGGTACTTCTGGACCAAGGACCAGTTCATCATCTTCTTTTGGACAGAATAGATCTTTCTTAATATCTAGAGAATGAACAACCGTTGGCGTGCTGAGTGGATAAGCCTTGTCCATGCCAAATTGCTTCAAGTTTTTTTCAATATAAGTTGATTGGTGAACCAAAATTCCACTAGCACAATGCTCAATCTGCAGGCCGAGACAAAATTTTGTTTTTCTAAGGTCTTTCATTTCAAATTTGCTTTTCAAATATTCAGCAGTTTTATTGAGCTCTTTAGGTTTTCCAACTAGGTTCATATCATCGACATATACTGCCACTATAGCAAATCCAGAGTTTGATTTCTTAACACACAAGGGCAAATGACATTGTTGGTACACCATTCTTTGATTTAATACTCACTGAGATGATTATACCACATTCCTCCAGATTGTTTCAGCCCATGCAATGATCTCTTTAATTTGATTGAGAGCATACCTTGTGGTTTATTAGTTGTTTTAGGCAACTTAAGTCATTTTGGGACTTTCATATATATGTCAGTATCTAATTCTCCATATAGATATGCGGTGATGACATCCATAAGTTGCATGTTAAGTTTTTCTGAAACCACTAAACTTATTAAGTAACGGAACATAATTGCATCCATTACAAGAGAGTACGTCTCCTCATAATCAATTACAGGTCTTTGTGAAAAGCCTTGTGCAACGAGTCGTGCTTTATATCTTGCAATCTCGTTTTTCTCATTACGTTTCCTTGTGAATACCCATTTGTAACCCATGGGTTAAAACCAAGCGGGGTTTGGACTACTGGTCCAAAAACATTTCACCTTTCGAAGGAATTTAATTCTGCCTGGATTGCATCTTTCCACTTAGGCCAATCTTGTCTCTGTTTGCATTCATCAACAGAGTAGGGCTCCAGATCATCACTTAGTATGATTTCATTGGCTACTGCGAATGCGAACATGTCGTCGATAATTATTTCATTTCGATCTCACAATTCATTATTACAAACATAATTTATGGAGATTTCTTTGCTTTCATGTACTTCTGTTTCTTCGGGTACATGTGTCTCATCAAGGACATTTTCTTTTTCTGAAAGTACAGAATCATGAATTGTGGATTTGTCATTCATTTTCTCTTCTTGAATGATTTCATTTGGATTCAGTTGTGCCCTCATCTTTCTCTTTCAATAGGCTGAATCTTTTGAACCTGAAGGTCTACCACGCTTCAGGCGTGCACCAGATGAATCATTCGCTGCCACTTTATTTTGTCCAACAGGGACATCAATTCTTGTAGGTGCATTTACAGCTGGTATATGTGATTTTGTCACTTTCATAGCATCATTAAATGCATCTGGCATTTGATTGACACTACTTTGAAGATGAACAATCCTTTTTACTTCATTTTCACATTGAATGCTTGAGGATCAAAATGAGATAAGGTGGGAATAACCCATGTCAGCTCTTGCCATTTTTCTGGAACGGTCTTTTCTCCCTCTAACGATGGGAATACTGTCTCATCAAAGTGACAATCAGCAAAACGAGCTGTAAACATATCACCTGTCAGGGGTTCCAAATATCTAATGATAGATGGTGCATCAAAAGCCACATAAATTCCTAATCGGCCATGATGTCCCATTTTAGTTTGTTATGGTGGTGAAATAGGTACATAAACAGCACAATCAAAAACTCGTAAATGTGAAATGTTTGGCTAATATCCAAACACAAGTTGTACTAAGGAGTATTGGTGGTTGGCTATAGGCCTTAATTGAACTAATGATGCAGCATGTAAGATGGCATGTCTCCATACAAAGACTGGTAATTTTGTTTTCATGAGCAGAGTGCGGGCTATTAACTAAGCCCGCTTGATCAATGCTTCTGCTAAACCATTTTGAGTATGGACATGAGGAGCAAAGTGTTCAACATCAATGCCCAATGTCATGCAGTGATCATCAAAGGTTTGAGACGTAAATTCACCAGCGTTATCAAGTCGGATTGACTTAATGGGGTAATCTGGGAACTATGCTCACAACTTAATTATCTAAACAAGAAGTCTCACAAAAGCTACATTCTGAGTAGACAAGACACAAACATGTGACCATCAGGTAGATGCATCAACCAAAACCAAAAAATATCGAAATGGTCCACAAGATGGTTGAATAGGCCCACAAATATCCCCTTGAATTCTTTGCAGAAATGATGGGCATTCAACATCAACCTTTAATTGTGATGGTTTAATTATCAACTTCCCTTGAGAACAAGCCTTGCAAGGGTTATCATTTGAGATAGCAATGTGTTTGCTCAATAATGGATGTCCATTATAGTTGGTAATGATTCTATGCATCATGGTAGATTCTAGGTGACCCAGACGATTATGCCAAAGCATGTAAACTTTTGAATCAATGAACTTATGGTTCATAACAGTATGTGATTCAATTTCTTTATGTATGTATAATACAATCCACTCGTCAAACCATGCAACTTCTCCAATATACACTTCATTGGAGGTAATGCCTAAGTACTCCACATTTTCTGCACTTTTCGTTTCAATGTTGTATCCATTTAAACATATGTCTTTAAAACTCAACAAATTTCGAGTAGATCGAGTAGTGTACAATGCATTCTGTATGTTCCATTTGGTAACATAATCTAGGCTTTCCTTGAGCCTTCCATTACATCCGAAGGGCTTGATGTTGTTGTTACCCTTACTTTTGTAAACATCAATCTTGAGAAATACTCTCGATCTCAAAGTATTGTATGCGTGGTTGCGCAGTCTACAAGACAAATATCTCCACCATTTCTCATGTTTTGAGAATGACCATAGTTTTTATCCATGCTCTCTTAGTGAGGGAATCATAGTTAAAAGCAAGTTATAACAAGAAATTTAAACACCATTTTTATTGAATTTGAAATGCTAGTTTTGAACTACATGTTCAGTACATCAAACATAAACGATTTAGTTGGACCGGTATACTTCATTCCCTCTTTCCACAATAAAATCTGAGACATCTAAGTAAGTTGTGTTCAACTGCCTTGATAAATCACACACTGGATTAGGTATATCTATTGGTTTAGCCTGGTCGAGAAAATTGGTTTCAACACCCTTTTCCTTGATGGAGGCTTGATATAGATCCACTAAATGTTTTGGGGTACGACAAGTACGCGCCCAGTGCCCATTGCCACCACACCTATGGCAAGCTCTTTTAAAGTTTTTGGGAGCATTGTTCATATGAGCTTTGCCTTTGTGACGATTCACATTTTTAAAGCTGGGGCCTGAATTATGCCTTGAAACCTGGTTGTGAAACTGGACACCATGATTCTTGCCTTTCCCGTTCTACCGTCCTTGCCTGTGGCCACTCGTTTGTGATTATTGCCACCAGAGGATGTGGCGTTCACTTCGAGAGAATCAGCAAATCCAGTAGGTCAAGAGTGATAATTCTTTATCAAGAGCTTATTGTTTTGTTCAGCAACTAGGAGCACAGATATCAAATGGTTGTATTCAGTGAAACCTTACTCTCTATATTGCTGCTGCAGGAGCACGTTTGAGGCATGAAAGGTGCTGAAAGTCTTTTCCATCATATCTTCCTCAGTGATGGTTTCTCTACAGAGTTCCATCTGGGAGCTAATTCTGAACATCGCAGAATTGTACTCAGCCACTAACTTGAAATCTTGGATCCTTAGGTGAGTCTACTCATAACGAGTTCTTGGAAGAATCACCGTTTTCTAGTGATTGTATCTGTTTCCCAACACCTTCCAGAGTGCTAATGGATCTTCAACCATTAGGTACTCGTTTTTTAGTCCTTCATCAAGGTGGCGAGGGATAAAGATCATGGCCTTCTCCCGATCTTGAGAAGATGCAATGTTCCCTTCGTTGATTGTTTCTCTAAGATTCCCTGCCTCCAAATGGATCTTGGTATCCATTACCCAGGTAAGGTAGTTATTCCCAGTAAAATCAAGCTATGCCAAGTTCGCCATTTTCTTTTTTGAAAGAAAACTGAGATGTGCAAGAACTTGAAATAATATGTATTATGGAGCTATTTAGTGTTGGAACTTCTAGTTCTTACAAATTTTTCATTTTGATCTTCAGGCCAAAATGATAAGCACTCGAAACTTCAGGCTCGAGATTTACAAGATGAATGAGGAGGGCGATTGTATTGCATCATTCTTGTTGAAATAACATAACATAGGATGGGCGATTATTCCGCACCACTCAAGTAGTAGGAAAATTTAAATATACAGAGTAGGGTGGGCCATTATACCGCTCCATCTAAAATTGCAATAAAATTAGATTTGTAGTCCAAGATAGGTGATGATACCGCACTATCTTGGATTGCAGCAAGAATAAATTTGCAGTTCAAGATGGGCAATTGTATCGCACCATCTTGGATTGCAGTAAAATTAACATAAATAAACACTGGGTTACTAATCAAGAACTACACCAAACAAGAAATCAAAGATATATGTAACTGTTAGGTTGAGAACTAAAAGCAGGCATGGTGCAAATAGTTATTCGCGAGGGTATGTCCAGCAGTTGACATGGATGAAAAAGATGAACAGTAAAATCGTTAGAGGAAACTTTTTTTTCTTTCTTTTGTTCGACGAAGAGAAATGAGAAAATGGTTAGATTTTAGAGAGTCGTGCTGATAACATGTTATAAATAGGTAAAAGTTAGAGAGATAACCTTTACTAATGACAGGAGTGAAGCAGGTGTAAAATATCACACTGTAACTATAACACCAAGGGATGACAAATAAAAGAAGGAGGAATATATACTGATGTTATTGATCTTTCCTTTTTTCTCTGTGTATTTTGATAGCAGTCGGAGCACACTATTTATAGAGCAACTCCAAACGTATTTATTACACCCTTTGAAAAATATGATCTCCTTCATTTCCAAAGTCTACATTACTATGTGTGGGTATTGAAAAATTTGTGTGGACATTCATTAATCTGCCAACATTTTCAACATTACCAATGTTTTTAATACTACCAATGTTTTCAACAAGGCTCTATTTATTTAACGTGTATTAGAGGCATTTTCCTCTCCTCATGTGGGATGTGGCTTGCCTGCCATTAACTTTGAAATGGGCCAAATGGCCCTTGTCAATTTTTATTTACCAAAAGAAAATGGGTTTGCCCATATTGAAAAGAAGATTTAGCAAGAAAACAGGTTGAATAATATTGATATATTGATGACCAATTAACTTTTGATGAAGTCGCATTTTTCTTTTTAATGTCGGAAGATGTGTCAGGGTTGATTGTTTGACATTCACACCTACTCTATCCAAAAATATAATCACCAAAACTTAATTTTAGCATTATAAAAAAGTACCTCAATGAATCAATGATCATATTCGTTCCTGTGTTAAGGGGTATGTGATACTCGAAATCTATTATGATCGATTCTAAAAACTCTCACCTGTAAAATATGAAAATAAATATCATTAGACAGTAATAGAAAGTAATTAAGATAATCAGTGTTTAAAATGTATACTTTCACATATTATAAGTAGAAAAATAAACTTATGCCAATATGTCATTGTTACAAATCGAATCTTACAGGTCCGAGATGGAGTCGTTATTTTGTCGGACCAATTCAATTCCTAGTATGCTATGGCGCTGTTGTGGCCTGTACTCTTTTAGGAGGACAATGCATAAAGGTAATCTGATTAATTTTTTATCACCTTCTTTATTATTATTATTTTTTTAATGTTTTTTATTGTTTGGGCATGTTGATATTATGCACATTAAAAGGAGGCGAATTAGCAATATGTCACACAATGAGCGAGTCATAATAAATTGATATCAAACTTGCAGTCGACAAGATTTGAATCTAAGATCTTCTACTTACAAGTAGAGAGAGATACCACTAGACTCTAATAGGAAGTGACACTGCTTGTTTGTTTCTTAACGAAGAAAATTTTCAACTTACTCTTTCACTGGGTAGAAGACTTTTTTTAAGGCTTCCACTCATATATATTATGATTCTTCTCAGCTGGTAACTTTGTTTTTGTTTGAAAACTTTCATGTTTTATAATTATGCAGGCAGTTTACTTGCTGACCAACCCAAATGGGACTATGAAGCTATACGAGTTTGTGATCATATTTGGGTGCTTAATGCTGCTTTTGGCTCAAATCCCATCTTTTCACTCTCTCAGGCACATCAACTTGGTGTCTGTCTTTCTTTGCCTAGCATATAGTGCTTGTACCACTGCTGCCTGCATCTACATTGGTAATGTCTTTGCTACATTGCCAAACAGGACATACAGTCACTAAAATCAAGTTCATTGCCTTGTGGGTTATTTGGGCATAGTTAAGTTGACTAAAGAACTATGTTTCTCGTAGGTGCTCAAATTCATATCACTCTTTCCATAATTTAGAATAGATGAAAACTTACACAAATGAATATAATTTTTTTTCAGGAAGTTCTTCCAAGGGGCCGCATAAGAACTATTCCTTGAATGGCAACAGTCAAAGTCGAGTTTTTGGGGTCTTTAATGCTAATGCCATCATTGCTACAACATTTGGCAACGGTATCATTCCAGAAATTCAGGTTCAAAATATTCCAATTGTCCTTAGTTCCCTCTCATATTCTTAGGAATTAGTACCAAACATGTTTGGAAGTGCTGCTTGCAACAAAGTGTTTTTATTAGGAGGTGATTTGTTAAAAGCACATAAGTTATTTTATTAAAAACTCGAGTGCTTCTTACATATTTACCTGAAATCATTTCATAGAAAAGCGTTATCGGATCCTTGTACAAGAAGCACCTAAAGTCCAACCGAAAAATAATTTTTCATATTTCAGCAAATAACAGCCAAAAGTGCTTTTGGAATGATCAAAACTACTCACAAACACACCCTAGTAGGCTCAAACATGTTACTTTATTTTCTGGATTTTCGGAACTAATAATTGTAAAATTTTTGGTAATAGGCAACAATAGCACCACCAGTGAAGGGAAAGATGTTCAAGGGACTCTGTGTTTGTTATGCAGTTGTGACGATGACTTTCTTCAGTGTTACCATCTCTGGCTATTGGGCATTTGGCAACCAATCTGAAGGCCTCATCCTTAGCAACTTCTTGGATGATGGCAAACCTTTGGTGCCAAAGTGGTTCATCTTCATGATTAACCTTTTCATCATACTGCAACTATCAGCGGTTGGTGTGGTAAGAAATTAATCGAACACCACCACCCGAAATCTCTTCTTCAAACATGGAGCAAAACACTAATCCATTTGCTTGGTTTGCAGGTTTATCTCCAGCCCACAAATGAAGTTCTTGAGCGAGCATTTGCAGATCCAACTAGCAAAGAGTTCTCTGCTCGCAATGTGATCCCTCGGGCAGTTTCTCGCTCGATGTCTGTCATCTTAGCAACCATTATAGCAGCAATGCTTCCATTTTTCGGGGACATCAATGCAGTTATTGGGGCTTTTGGTTTCATCCCCCTTGACTTCGTCTTGCCTGTTGTGCTCTATAACTTGACCTTCAAGCCATCTAAAAGAAGCCCCATTTTCGTGTTAAACACCACTATCGCAGTGGTTTTCTCAATATTGGGGGTTCTAGCTGCAATTGCTGCAGTAAGACAAATAAGCCTCGATGCCAAAACTTATCGGTTGTTTGCTAATGTATGAACACCATTCAGCAAATATTGCTTGCTTCCGCTCAAGTGGTATAGACAAGCTGGATGAAGTGTAGATCCTAGGTTGGATTTCCCTTGTAACTAAAGTATTTGATCGCTGTTCCAGTGTGCATAATGTTATGTATCTGCTATTTGCAGGGATTCTTATTTTTACTTGCAACAGTAGGTGCAAGTAATAAGCTAATGAGTAAATAAGAAGTCCTTTAATGTTAATTGTGTATGAACTTAGTCTTCAAAATGACAAGTGTAAGGCTCAAATGTGTAAGGCTAAATTAGCCATGTGTAGTGATCCTAAAAGTTAGCTAGATGCGTATCTGAGATCAAATGTGTTGTTTTTGGATCCAACTAAGGCAAAATGGTTGTAAAAGGAGTGCATGTGTGCGTGCTCATTTAAAGTAGTAGAAAATATATTTTCTCTCGACAACTTCTACAGAGAAGAAGAACTTTCTCATTCCTCAATCCTTTTTCTTATTGTTATCCTGCATTACTTAGTGAAAATACTTCACACTTACATGGCCTCAGAGCCAGGTTGGATCAACTGAGTCTGGGTGTGAATCTGTGAGGTCACTGAGCTAAATTGAAGCTCGGTGAAGGTCGCCGGAGTTTCATTATCATTCAGGCCAATGATGTCTGGATCTGGAAGCTCGGAGGTGAGAACTCCCATTTTCTCCGGTAAGAACTACGAGTTCTGGAGAATTAAGATGGTTACGGTTTTCAAATCTCTTGGGTTATGGAATCTGGTAGAAAAGGGGATTACATCCCCTGATTCGAAGAAGAAGAAGAAGGAAACTGAAGAGTCATCGGCATATATAGTCGATGAAGAAATGAATGTTGTGTTCATGATGGATGCAAAGGCTCTAGGAATCATACAAATTGCAGTCTTTGACCACATCTTCCCTCAGATTGCCAATGCTGATTCAGATCTATTGTATGGGGAATATCACGGTGGTGGTCAGGTTATATCAATAAAACTTCAAAATCTTAGACGACAATTTGAATATGCTAGGATGCGAGATGATGAATCTCTATCTGGTTATCTTACAAGGCTGAATGAATTGATTAATCGGATGAAAACATTCGGTGAATCTCTTTCTAATGAAAGACTTGTGCAAAAGGTTCTGATTAGTCTAAGTCAACCATATGATCCTATCTGTTTGGTTATAGAAAATACAAAATGTTTGGAGACTGTAAAATTGCAGAAGGTAATTGCAATCTTAAAGAGCCAAGAACAACAGTTTGATTTGCATATTATTGATACTACTGGGAAAGCATTTACATCTCTCTCAGTGAGTCCAAATGGACAAAATAGAAGTGGAGCTCAATCTGATCCATCTCAGTTCCAGAAGAATTGGAATTCTAAGGGCAAGAAATGGAAGTCAAAACCTAAGTTCCAGTAGAAATTTCATGCTAGTCCTGCACAAAATGCACAGTTAATGGGTCAAGCAGTCACAAAACCACAGTGCAGGGTATGCTCTAAATTCCACTTTAGTGAGTGTAGGTATAAGGGAAAACCTAAATGTTATAACTATGAAAGGTTTGGACACTGGGCTCGAGAGTGTATTGCAGGAAAATCAGTTCAAAAGGCAAATAATGCTAATCAAATAGAGGTGACAAGAAACTTGTTCTATGCAAATAACACTATCTCTGAATCAGTTGTCAATGGTGAATGGTATGTTGACAGTGGTTGCAACAACCACATGACTGGAAATGAGAAATTGTTGGTTGATATAAGGACAAATGTAGTAGGCAAAGTACAAATGCCAACTGGTGAGCTTATGAATGTAGCTGGAATGGGGACTCTAGTAATTGAAGGAGAACTTACTGAGTGTGGGACAGATGGATAAGCATGGGTATTATTTGCTGTTTGGTGGTAAAATATGCAGTATTTTTTATGGTCTTTTACTGGAATGCCTTGTAATTAAAGTAGAAATGAAAAGGAATAGATGCTATCCTTTAGCATTCCTGCCTGATGATCATATAGCTCTGAAAACAAGCTTGTCTCAATCTACTTGGACCTGGCACAAAAAGTTAGGCCATCTGCATCTAAGAAGATTAAAACAACTCAAAGAGAAGGAAATGGTGCATGAACTTCCATATTTAGAAGAAGTTGATGAAGTGTGTGAAGGTTGTCAGCTTGGAAAGTAACATAGAGAGTGGTTCCCAAAGAATCAGGCATGGAGAGCAAGTAACCCACTAGAGTTGATTCATGTGGATCTATGTGGACCAATGCAAAATGAGTGCATAGCTGGAAACAAGTATTTTATGCTTCTTGTAGATGACTACACAAGAATGATGTGGGTTTATTTTCTCAGATACAAGTCAGATGCATTGAATTGTTTTAGAAAATTCAAATCTATGGTAGAGCTACAAAGTGGTTTTAAAGTAAAATGTCTAAGAAGTGACAGAGGGGGTGAATTCACATCTTATGAGTTTAACAAGTTGTGTGAAGATGAAGGTATTCAAAGAACTCTCTATGGCTTATACTCCACAACAGAATAGAGTTGTAGAGAGAAAGAACAAAACTGCAATTGAAATGGCAAAAGCCATGCTTCATAATAAAGGATTACCTTACTATGTGTGGGCAGAATCTGTACACACAGTTGTCTACATACTGAATAGGTGTCCTACAAAAGCTCTCAGAGATATAACTCCATTTAAAGCATTCAGTGGTCGAAAACCAGGGATTGCACATCTTAGAATCTTTGGTTGTTTGTGCTATGTACACATATCAAGTGAGTTAAGACAGAAACTAGATGCAATGAGTGTCGAGGGCATATTTGTAGGTTATGCCACTTGTGAAAAGGGGTACAGAGTGTATGATCCTATTACTAAGAAACTTATACTCTCGAGAGATATGTTTGATGAAAATGTAGCCTGGGAGTAGAAGAAGATCTCTGAGAATTATGTAACTATGCTTAATCATGATGAGCTACTTCATATGCCTAAGGGTGCATCACTTGAAACAACTCCTGAAGGTCAGAACTATGTCCAAACACCAAGCTTATTATCTTCTCATAAATCAGCAAGTGAGGTGAGTAGCAGTATGAGAAAATCTCAAGCTTTTGATCACACTCCATTGAGGTGGAGGAACCTGGATGATGTTCTAGCTCAATGAAATCTCTGCATTGTGGAACATGAAAAGTTTGATGAGGCAGCTAAGGATGAATCATAGATGATAGCTATGAAAGATGAACTGTAAATGATTGAAAAGAATGCAACATGGAAGCTAGTGGACAGACCCACTGATAAACCTATAATTGGGGTTAAGTGGGTGTTCAAAACCAAGCTTAATCTTGATGGATCAGTGCAGAAAAATAAAGCAAGGCTAGTAGCCAAGGGATATGCTCAGAAACCAGGTGTTGACTATAATGAGACCTTTGCACCTGTGGCTGGACTTGATACAATTCAATCATTAGTTGCATTAGCAGCACAGAAAAGTTGGAAACTATATCAACTTGATGTCAAGTCTGCTTTTTTGAATGGAGTACTCGAAGAAGAGGTTTATGTAGAACAGCCAGATGGTTTTGTGGTCAAGGGGAGTGAAGACAAAGTGTACAAGCTTCATAAAGTTTTGTATAGCTTAAAACAGGCACCAAGGGCCTGGTATAGTGAAATTTACTTTTATTTCACTTAATGTAGATTTGAGAAGAGTCAAAGTGAGGCCACTCTATACACTAAAACTAGAGGTGAAGCAGAAATCTTAATTGTGTCTCTATATGTAGATGATATTGTGTACACGGGTAATAGTCAACAAATGTTGGAAGAATTCAAGAGTGATATGATGACAAAGTATGAAATGACAGATTTGGGGCTCTTGCATCATTTTCTGGGAATGGGAGTCATCCAAACACACCACATACAAGCTTTTTTCTTCATCAAAGAAAGTATGCTATATCTTTGTTGGACAAATTTGGCTTCAGTGAGTGTAAATCTGTTGCTACACCTTTGGTTACCACTGAGAAGCTTAGCAAAGATGATGGCAGTGGTGAAGCAAATGAAGAACAATATAGGAAAATTGTGGGAAGCCTATTGTATCTCACAGCTACAAGACCCGATGTGATGTATGCAGCTAGTTTACTTGCAAGGTTCATGCACTGCCCTACCAACAAACATTATAGTACTACCAAAAGGGTTCTCAGGTATATCAAAGGAACACTTGACTATAGCTTGGAGTATGTGAAGGGAAGAAATGCAATTCTAATCGGTTACTGTGATAGTGACTAGGGTGGTTCAGTGGATGACAGTAAAAGCACCACAGGGTATGCTTTCTCCTTTGGTAGTGGAATTTTCTCTTGGGCTTCAATCAAACAGAATTGTGTAGCTCTCTCTACTGCTAAAGCAGGGTATATTAATGCATCAGAGGCAACTGCATAAGCAATTTGGCTCAGATTTGTGTTAGAGGACTTTGGTGAATTTCAAACTGAGGTTACTCCACTTCAGTGTGACAATACTGCTGCAATTGCTATCACAAAGAATCTTGTGTTTCACCAGAAAACTAAGCACATTGATCGAATATATCATTTCATCAAGGATGCTTTACAAGAAGGGATCATTGATCTTGTATATTGTCCTACAAATGAGCAACTAGCAAATATCTTCACAAAGTCATTGGCTAAGGATCGGTTCTGCTATCTCAGGGATAAACTTGGAGTGAAATCAGCTCAAAACTTAAAGGGGAGTGTAGAATTGTAAGTAATGAGCTGATGAGTGAATAAGAAGTCCTTTAATGTTAATTGTGTATGCACTTAGTCTTCAAAATTACAAGTGTAAGGCTCAAATGTGTAACGCTAAATTAGCCATGTGTAGCGATCCTAAAAGTTAGGTATATGTGTGTCTGAGATCAAATGTGTTGTTTTTGGATCTAGCTAAGGCAAAATGATTGTAAAAAGAGTGCATGTATGCGTGCTCATTTAAAGTAGTAGAAAATATATTTTCTCTCGGCAACTTTTGCAGAGAAAAAGAACTTTCGCATTCCTCAATCCTTTTTCTTATTGTTATCCTGCATAACTTAGTAAAAATACTTCACACTTACAAGACAATCTGCAATATAACAAATGGTTGAAATCAACACAATATAATGCGTCTATGTATGATGTTGTGCCATCTTTGCAAAAGTAGGTGCGAAAGAATCTCTACTGTAGAAATATCCATGATTTAATTTCAAATGTCTCAAGATATAAAATTGCAGTAGAAATTTGATCTCATGTCTGTTTCCTATCATAAAATCTTAAGCTATCGTCATGCAACAAGAAGTTCAAAATACCAACCCCTAAGCCAAAGCGCAAAATCCATAACAAGTTACAACATAAAAACAACGACGATAACAAGTCCAAGGTCTCATTTAACGGCATATCAAACGCTAATAGAAATCTTGCACTGTGGGCTTGCAAACTAAATAACACATTTCTTCAGGTCAAAAACTCAGAATAGATTTGAACAAGTTTGAAATAAAAGATATCAGTATACCCTTGTCAGTGACTTTGTATGTGTGTGCGCGTATGTGAGAGAGAGAGACAGAAATAGAGCTACCCCTATGTCTAAGGAACAAAAGGGATGATGCCAATAGATGTTCCTGGACCCAGTATTGACTGCGGGACAGTCTGACCAAAACCTGGTAGTGAAGCAGGATTGAATTTCAGATTAAAACCTGGTGAAGAAGCAGGGTTAACATTCTGGCCAAAATACGGTGGAGAAGCAGGGTTAACATTCTGACCAAACTCGGTAGAGAATAAGATTGATGTTGTTTGCACCAATGAGATGACCTGATCCACTATTGGCCGGAGTTTCCAAGAGAGCAGATGCAGGTGAAGGTCATATCTCATCGTTCTTTGCCTTTGGAGGAATCATTATCAAGGGCGTAGCCCTTGTAATGCCTGCATTTCCACTTTGCACAACATCAAATTGTATACCTACGTTGTGCCAGTTGTGATAATTTTGGCGGTGCAATAGTGGAAAATAGGCCTTTTTTTTCAATTTTCCAATTCTTTCCCGTGCACCTCCAAATCTTGAACCCCAAAGCTTTCTTCCTATAGACCTCCAACTCTTTCTTTCTTCCCTCTCGCTCATCTTCCCCTCTCTCTTTCCCGTGAACCCCAAATCTTGAACCCAGACCACCACGTGAATCTCTCATTCTCATTCTAAACAACGGGCCACCACGCTCTCGAAGCCACTGTGAATCAAGTACCAAAATCAAGGTAAGGCTTTTTTATTTTCGATGGGTTTCTGTTATTTAGGGTTTGAGCTCAAATTGCATGTTGATTTCTAAGTACTTTTCCGAAATCTCCAGATAAAATTGGATGTTGGTTTTGGTTTAAGGTGAAATTGCTTTTTTCGTGATGTGATTCGAGTTAATTGTCTGAAGTGTTTGCAATTTTGTTGATCTGTATGTGTGTTTTGTGTATGAACATGGAGGAAAATGCTAACAATTTTTGGGCACTGTTCAATTATTTCTGGGCATCCATCTTCGATAACATCATCCCTTTTGTTTGTTTGGGACCATGACATTAACGCCCTCATTCGTCCACCCTCAGTGTTTTGTAGTTGCATGAGTTAAGCTCCTTGGACTGGTATCAATTTGTTTTCAGGTACAAGAAAAACTTGACAAGATTGGCATATGAACTACATTTTGAATGTGCATGCTGGGTAGGGACTTGTAGAATTTATGATTAACGATTGTGATTTGATTACGATGAGAATATTGAGTAAAATAATTTCATTGTCGATTTTAGTAACTAAAGTAGTTAAGAGTATTTATTCTCGATTTTAATGTCCTATTCGATTATTTTCACTCTACGACATAGCTAGGATGATACCCGTTTTTTCTTCACTATTTTTGTAGGTTCAC